CTCCCCTGTCGAGAGCCTCTATGCAGAAGCGAACGTTCCGTCCTTATCCGATCGCCGTGATGCCCATTGCCTTCGCTACTATGTATGCTCTCATGATCTCCGCAATCCTTCCATTTATAGAATGGTCACTGATATTAGTAGACATTCTTTATTTGTTCGCCGCCCCTGTTTACTCCGTCCCTTCTCTCTTCGCCTTCATTCGCTCTTGTCTTCTCTTCAATTACCACCTTTCTATGTACATGTAGCATCTCACTTTTCCCTACCCCCCTGGGAAGTTCCAGCTGTTCGAGTCTGTTCTTTCTCTCTCCCTTGCTCGAAAGCCCAACTGTCTACGGTCGCCTCCCGCTCTCATTTTCTTAACCACTTTCACTCTCATTCTCATGCCATTGCTGTGTACACAGATGGCTCTAAGTCTTCTGACGGCATAGGATTCGCAGCAGTGTTTCCGGACAGCGTCGTACAAGGGCATTTACTATCTTCGGCTAGTATTTTTACTGCTGAATTGTATGCCATCCTTACAGCACTTATCCGTATTGCATCTATGCCTGTGTCATCATTTGTGGTAGTCTCAGACTCCCTTAGTGCTTTACAGGCTATACAGAAATTTGATACACCTCACCCCTTAGTCCTCCGTATCCAACTTTGGCTACGCCGCATCTTTACCAAGCATAAAGATAGTTTTTTGTTGGGTCCCTGGTCATGTTGACGTACAGGGCAATGAACAGGCAGACACTGCTGCGCGGTCAGCAGTACATGACCTACCAGTTTCATGTAGAGGTATTCCATTTACAGACTATTTTGCTGCAATATCTTCCCAACTTCACACCCATTGGCAACAACGTTGGTCTACTATGCTCGGTAACAAACTTCAATCTATTAAACCGAGTATAGGTTACTGGCCGTCTTATCACCAGTGTCGAGGTTGGGAGACTACTCTCTCCAGTCTTCGCATTGGCCATACTCGTCTTACTCATGGATATCTCACGGAGAGGTGCCCTGCTCCTCTCTGTGAGAATTGTCAAGTTCCATTATCAGCCAGCCACATTCTGTTGGACTGCCCACTTTATCAACGAGCACGCAGAATTTACCTCCGTCGTCGTCTTCGCTCTGCTGCTCTCTCTTTACCTTCTCTTCTCGCTGATGGACCCACCTTTCATCCAGACTCTCTCATTGACTTTTTGACAACAACTGACTTACTTCACAAATTCTGATACCTTCAGCCCTTTCTACTTCAATCTCTTGCTACCCTCTACCCCCGTACTATCCCCTGCCCCGCTGTTTTCTGTAACCTACTGATCATCCCTCCTCCCTTCTGCCATCCAATACCCTCGCTTCCTTCCCTACCCTGCAGCGCTGTATAGCCCTTGTGGCTTAGCGCTTCTTTTTGATTATAATAATAATATCAATAAACTCACTTTCAACACTGATAAGACCTACATGTTCGGAAGTAGAGCTGCAAATGTCCAGCTAAATGCTATGATTAACGGTTCTAAGACAAAATGAAAGAAAATTCTCAGATCTGTACCTTGACAGCACCTTGAAATTCAACACCCACATTCAGCATAAAAAAGGTATCCAAATCAGTTGGCATCCTCTCCAAAATGCATTACTATGTACCTCAAACAGCACTATACACATGGCCTCATGATTAAACGTAGGCTTAACACAAACCAGTCATATGAGGGATCGCAAATTCTTGGCTGGCATGACGAGTGGACTTGCGATCCCTCATACGACTGGCTTGTGTTAAGGCAATGTTTAACCCTTTCAGGGTCCAGAGGCCAAATTTCAAAGTGCGGCGCACCAGGGTCCAAGAATTTAAAAAAAAAGAGAAAAATATTTTTTTCTTATGAAATGGTAGAGAATCTTTTTCTGAAGGTAATAAAACAAAAAGGACAAAATTATGCTCGCGAATTTTGATGTCGGCAATATTTATGAATTGGCGATTTTGCTGACTTTGACTCCCATTTTAGGCCAATTACATTATCCAAGTCAACTGCTTCAACTATAAAATAAAGTGATCAGAAATTGGTAAATTTAACACAAAGTTCAGAATATTCCAATTTCAAAATAAGGTCCAAAATAAACAATGTAGGTATTCCTGGCACTAAACTAACATTTCCTCTGTTCATCAGTTATGTTTTGAGGCTTTACAAATCAATTCCATTTTGATTTTTTATTCAAACCAAAAAATAGAAGATTTACTGTTATGCAATATTGTAATAATTGTATAAATATCATCACCACATTTGCGAATGTATATTAGACCCACCAGCTGGCGTGTATTAGACGTGTGAGGTCGTTTGTTTACTCTTGAACATTGGCAAAAATTTAACATTTCCACTACTTTGAGCTCAGTTTCAAGCCATTTCCAGTGCTAAATTATTATTATTATAATAAAAAAGAAGCGCTAAGCTACAAGGGCTATACAGCGTTCCAGTGCTAAAACCAATCAACATCATCTCTATTTCTGTAATATGTCTTCCATTCTATCAAGTGAGACCAAGAAATTGCAAATACAACTATAAAAAAACACTGCAAACTCGCTGTTTTAATCGAAAATCACGGTCTCAGGTTTTTTCTTTCATTATACACTGTGCTGCAGGATTTGTTTTATGTGGTGCACACATACCACATAGATGTATTTTCTCATATCTAGGCCCAAATTTACCACTCACAGCTTATCAGAGTGAGCTGAGCTCATGGCATAGATCTACGGTTTGGACCCTGAAAGGGTTAATTGTGAGGCCATACCAGTTGGTTCCATCTTTTCAAAACACCTGTATTATACTACTCTCTAATCTATCCCTACCTTACCTACTGTATTTGTACCTGGGGGCTTCACTAAAGCAAATCCCTTTTAAGTCATTATTAAAAAAAAAAGCAGCTGTATGAATGATCACCGAGTCTTGCATACCTATATGTAAAAATACATGTAACTAATTTCACTCTTACTGTAACTTTTATTCCAATTTAAATTAACAATCTTAATATGTATATTATAATCGAAGTGTCTTATGCCTATGTAACTTATTTTATCTGCTTCATATACATTGGTTTAATATTCATGTAATCTATTTTGTGAAAATCACTACTGTCTTGCATATATATACGTACAATAATACAATCCTTCTAGATGTAAGTTAGGTTTAAACTTGCCCGAAATGCTCTACATAACTCCGGGACTTTCCATGTGTGAGAGATGTCATACAATTTTGTATCATGTGGAAATAAATTGACTGATTGATATATTTGTCTCAATTTCATAAAATTGGGAAACATTTTGAAAGCCAACTGAAATTTCCGTTGATGTTTATCAATTACAGAAAATTTTAAACTTTTTCAAAGAGTGAAATTTCTAAATTACATAAAATTAAGAAACATTCTGAAAGCTGGAGTGAAGTTCCCAATTCATAATCAATTCTTCAAAAGTTGGAATTAAATTCCCAAAGATTTTTTATAACATAAAATGCAGAAATTAATTACAGAAAATAAACCCCTCAAAGGAGGTTCCTTGATGCTAGTGAGGGGCTCTTGATCTAGGGAATTTGATCTGCGCTCCAGTTCCCTGAATTGACCCTGAATGCCTTCCATCCCCCCACAGGCACTGTATAATCCTATGGGTTTAGTGCTCCTCCCATGATTATATATACTATACAGAAAATAAAATTTAATGAGTATATTTCCAAAACTGGAGTAAAATTATAAAATTTCCATAGGGGTCACACAGCACCTGGGGGAAATGAAGATGAGAAAGATACTACCTTATAATTTACACCTGGAAATCCTAGAGGGATTGGTCCCAAATCTGCACACAATCACTCCCTAGGAAAGTAAGAGGTTCAGTAGACAGTACAAAATATCCATCATAAAAAGCAGGGAATTACTAACAGACCTCTGGCTGTCTTCAAGAAACAATTGGACAAGATTTTTAAGTCAGTCCCTGATCAGTATGTTGGCCTTTGTCCAACTACCACCTACAGCTTGGTTGATCAGGCCATTCACTGAGAGGCCTGGTCTGGGACTCAGCTGCAAAGGTGTTGACCCCTGAAACACTCCAGGTTGGTAGACAAATTTTTTTTTAAAACTAACCTTTTAAATTATGATGTTCATTTTACACCCTAACCTCCACTCATTCCTACCTAACAATCCAACATTGGGCTCTATGACCTGCTGAGTAGCTAAGTGTTTGTTTTCAAATAATTAATAAATCATAACCAAACATACAAGAAAATTTAAAGGTTCCAAGACTGTCATCAAATTAGTTGTTGCATCGACTACCTCTCCAGACACATGCCTAAGAAAGCTTGAAGTCCTGAGACTTTCCCTCACAGGCTAATTCCTGTGATAAAGAACCTGAGAAATGAAGACAAGGTGAAGTTGTACAGGAAACATGGTCACAACTTGCAGGATATTCAGGAAACAAAGATAGATAGACTTTTTTAATTTGGTCAAAGTAGATCAAAAGAAATAGAAACAGCACCAAAATGAGCCAAATTATTAATGTGAATTGTTAAACTTGTGAAGGACATTCAGCACAAGGAGTGTTGGAGGTTAAAGCCTTTCATCTAAATTCACAGACACTACCTTACTGTACTCACCAAGGGGTATCAGGAGGAACTTCTTCCATGCAAGAAGAGCAAGTAGAATGCACTAAGGGAGGAAGCAGTGAAGGCAAATTCCACATATGAATTAAAAGATAAATATGGCAAAACCTATGGGGATAAGGAAGGCATCACACAAGCAAGGTAATATGAAGCAGGGACCAAGACCTGCAGCTCTATCCCCACAAACAATAAGATGAATGCAAAATTAGTCTCTTATATTTCAAAAATCGCATATTCTTCAATGATTAATTTTTCACAATGGACTCCAGACATTTTTTAGGATAACCACCTAGCTAAAATATTTTCAACAAAGACTTATAAATAAAAGTAGATTTATGTTGTAAAAATATGTATTAAGAAAATTTACAGCACAGTATATTTCCTTCTACTTACTGGTCAGGTGCATGGGCTGTGCTCGAGAGTAAAGGGTCTGTGTCGCGGTGGGAGTGCTCCGATGAGGGGCCCGCCCGTGCTGGAGGGAGTTGATGGAGAAGGGGAGGGAGGGGTTGCTGAACTGCAACTGCCCCCACTGTTGCTGCCCCCATTGCTGGTCCCTGGCACCCCTGGCCCACCGCCTGACACCCCTGGCCCACTTTCTCTCTTTCTGCTGCCTGCGCTCGCTCTCTCTGTAATCTGGAGTGCCAAGAACCAAGTAATGTACAAGAAATCTTACTACACAATACCACCATCTTCACTTTTTTTTTGGAATGGAATCAACACATTTTAAGCAATACATGAAACATCAATAGCCAATATTAATTGTTTCTACTCTAATTGCAAGAAGGTACACAAGGCTACACCAAGAAAATCATTAGCACCTACTTATACTTTCCATTAAAAACAGGCAAATGAATCTTGCATCATCATATGAAATAGGTGCTATTACCTCTAGGTGTAATGTCTGCCACAAAAATGTGTTCAGATATTACATTAAAGATGGATATTATGCAATTGTATACCACAATTATTTAAACAAACAAAACTAACATTATATGCAGTGTGTACATACACGCTGTATATAAAAACATAACATTTAAATTAAAAAAACTCTTAAACTAATAAAAAGGTTTATATAAAAAATCTAAATGATAAATAAAAGGGACAGTAGACTTTTACTGACACTACATGCCCCACAAACTGTACCACCACTCCTACAATATTTACACCTTTTATGTGTATTATTTATATGATTGCATTGTATATCTTTATTTAGAATACAATTAGCAGGGAAATATATTTTAACTGATATTACAGTAATTACATTACATATGCTCCATCAAGAAACTGGTCCTTCCAATCACTCTTTTATACTACATTACAACTAATACTAACATCTTTAAACAAAGTAAATTAGGGACACAAACTATTAATAAAAACAAGAAAAACTTAATGTATAGTGGAAATAGTTACATAAAAATTGTCTAGGAGTGGTGTCTAAAGAATACAACACAACATCAAAACAGCAAACACAGAAAACTTGAAACAATACTTCCTGTCACTTTAAGTCTGGTACAGACTAACTCACCGTTTTATCCGTTAGTAACTCCCATATGCTGCTACGAAAAAGAGACGAGAACAAGTAAATATAGATTGGACAGCGATTGTTGCACTACACCAGTACAACAACCACGGGACAACAGCAAAATTACTTGACTACAAGGCATGCATTGTCTAGCTCAGACTTACTGCTACTGCTCAACTGTAATTTCAAAAATTATGAAAAACAAAATACAGTAAATATTTAGGATAGCACTCAGGTCTATCTTTACTTCAATACACTCATTATGAACCCAGCAGTAAATCTGATTTGAGAAAGCAAAACAGAAGTCTTGCACTATGCAAATTGCTGAAAAAGAACCCTCATTCTAGCATTCAACTTTATAAATACAATATACAGACTTAATATGAATGTTATCATAGTGAACTGAAAATTCTTGAATCAATAAGTTGAATGCCTAGCTCTTTAAAACGAGAATATGTATGTACAGTAGACATCATAAATATGCATGCCCATAAGTACAACTTTTGCAGACTATTTGCCTGACAGATTAAAAAAGTGCCAGGGTAACTTTTGTACAGTAGACAGTGCCACTTGCCATAGTGCCTTAGACATAAAGAACTGGATAAATTATTGTGATTTTTCACACTTTAATGACTGGCCTGTAAACTCATTGAACTTAAATCTGACAAAAAACATCTGGAAACTTAAGTGTAAGCTTCATGGTGTGGATGTGTCCTCTAACCACTTATAAGGCCTTATAAGTGCCTGGGAAACTTCAGGAGTGCATCAAGAGGAAATGTAATCCTACAAAATACTAGTGTAGGTGAGGAACACATACCTATTTCAGTACAGCATTATATATTAAATTTAAACTGTAGGTTATAGTAAGCAGTCTCACTTCGTGTGATCTGTTTATGCACATGCATATTTATGATGCCTATTGCCCACTATATATGTATGTAATCAATTGTACTCCCCTAATTGTGGTTGCAGAGCGTCAACTCTGCTCATTTCACATTTTTGGCTATGTGAGCCCTATCATACCTATTCTTAAAGCAATGTATGAATTCTGCCTCTACCGCCTCACTGTTTAGGTCATTCCACTTTCTGACCACTCTCAGACTGAAGAGGCACTTCATAACATCCCTGTGACTCATTTGTATTAACTTCTAGCTGTGACCTCAAGTTCCCGAGACCCGCCTCTCAAAACTCCTGTCAATTCCTGTTGAGCATTTTGCATGTCATCATATCACATCTAGCCCTCTTGTCCTCCATTGTTGTCAGGTTTAACTCCTGTAGCCCCCTCCTCATAGGTCATACCCCTCAGCTCTTGATTGTAGTTTTGTTACAAATCTTTGCTTTTATGTATATACGTGTATCTATGTACATACATTACTACCCCAGGATGCTGACCACAAGAGTTTAAAAATTATTTATGAAGGGATTCAGGAAAACATGTTAACCAGACTTGAATCTTGAAGATGGGAAATGCAGTGCTCACCTTCATAAGAGTACAGTACTGCATTTCCCAATGTCCTAACCCTGAAGGAGGAATGGGGGATACAGCTTTGCAGTTCAGAGGGTCATTTATGATGTCTGCACTTTTCTGGCACGACAGCTATTGAATAAGTGTTGAAAGAATATGTTTCCATTTTTTTTTTTTTTTTTTTTTTGGGGGGGGGGGGGGGAGTTCACCCTAACTCAGTTAAAGTTGTACAGTGTGTTAAAGTATATATATTTGTCTTGCCCCACTCAAAATAAAAATGTAGTACAGTATTACACTAGGTATTGTATGGTATGTTTGCATGCACATGCTTAGAAAGTTGTTTTTGGGGGTACTATACCCAGCATATCTCTTCTTTAAAGACCATACATACACACACATACACCATTAACAATTCTGAAAATAATGCATGCATGAGGGTGTCTGAATTAGAGAAAGATCTGAATAATGGGAATTTTATAAATAAATATTATACACACATAAAAGTATGCATGCATAAACACGCACACACACGCCAGGAGCTGTGACTCAACCCCTGCAGCCACAAGTAGATGAGCACACACTTATTCTGAATGATTTTCAAACTAAATTTGAAATTTTTCCTGATTTGGAATATTTCACTTTTACTATATACAGTGGTACCTTGACTTATGAGTTTAATTCATTCCGTGACTGATCTCGTAACTCAATTTGTTCGTACAGTAAGGCCCCGCTTTACGGCGTTCCGCTAATATGGTCATTTCAAATTATGACCAAAACTCTCTATACAGCTCTCCCACCTGACTTTCTAATACAGTCACCGCTCCCCAACTGGTTTGTTTACATTCTTTGTGAGATCCATAAGCACTAAGTCTCTCCATTATGTCTGGAAACGCTAAAATTTCAAGTGTTTTTAAAAGTTATTTCATATTTTATATATACTCTGATAATTATACTTATGCATACCTGTACAGTGGAACCTCAAAAATTGAACTTAATCCGTTCCAGGAGCTAGTTCTAAATTCGAAAAGTCTGAAATTTGAAGCAATATTTCCCATAAAGAAATAATGGAAATACAATTAATCCGTTCCAGAAACCCAAAAATATTCACACAAAAAATACATTTTATAGAGATTAATTACAGTTTTACATACAATAAATACTATAGTTTTTAATTATGTATTACCTGGAGAGAGTTCCGGGGGTCAACGCCCCCGTGGCCCGGTCTGTGACCAGGCCTCCTGGTGGATCAGAGCCTGATCAACCAGGCTGTTGCTGCTGGCTGCATGCAAACCAACATACGAGCCACAGCCCGGCTGGTCAGGAACCGACTTTAGGTGCTTGTCCAGTGCCAGCTTGAAGACTGCCAGGGGTCTGTTGGTAATCCCCCTTATGTATGCTGGGAGGCAGTTGAACAGTCTCGGGCCCCTGACACTTATTGTATGGTCTCTTAACATGCTAGTGACACCCCTGCTTTTCATTGGGGGATGTTGCATCGTCTGCCAAGTCTTTTGCTTTCGTAGTGAGTGATTTTCGTGTGCAAGTTCGGTACTAGTCCCTCTAGGATTTTCCAGGTGTATATAATCATGTATCTCTCCCGCCTGCGTTCCAGGAATACAGGTTTAGGAACCTCAAGCGCTCCCAGTAATTGAGGTGTTTTATCTCCGTTATGCGCGCCGTGAAGGTTCTCTGTACATTTTCTAGGTCAGCAATTTCACCTGCCTTGAAAGGTGCTGTTAGTGTGCAGCAATATTCCAGCCTAGATAGAACAAGTGACCTGAAGTGTGTCATCATGGCTTGGCCTCCCTAGTTTTGAAGGTTCTCATTATCCATCCTGTCATTTTTCTAGCAGATGCGATTGATACAATGTTATGGTCCTTGAAGGTGAGATCCTCCGACATGATCACTCCCAGGTCTTTGACGTTGGTGTTTCGCTCCATTTTGTGGCCAGAATTTGTTTTGTACTCTGATGAAGATTTAATTTCCTCGTGTTTACCATATCTGAGTAATTGAAATTTCTCATCGTTGAACTTCACATTGTTTTCTGCAGCCCACTGAAAGATTTGGTTGATGTCTGCCTGGAGCCTTGCAGTGTCTGCAATGGAAGACATTTTTACTTACCTTTATTGAAGATTGGTGATGGCATCTGGAAGATAGGGAGAAGGAGAGAGGGAGTTGGGGTTAGTGTTTGGAAGGAGAATCCCCCTCCATGAGGACTTCAGGTAAAGCCCTCTCTGGGGTTACTTCCCTACTCTGTCTTTTAATGCCACTAGGACCAGCTTGAGAGTCACTGGACCCCTGTCTCACAAAATAACTGTCCACAGTCCTCTGTTTCTAGCGCCTCTTTAACATTTCCCTAAAATGGGACATGGTTCTGTCACTGAACTTGTTGCAAAGATGGCTTGTTTCAGCTTGCTCAGGGTGGTACTTCTGCACAAGCATTTGGACATCATTCCACTTGGCACAAATCTCCTTAATCTTTGAAGAAGGCACCTCATCTACTCCCTATATTAACACCTTTCGCAACATCAGCTTCCTTGATTTGCTCTTTCTTTGACAGGATAGAACCGATGGTCGACTTGTTTTTCCCATACATCCTGGCAAGCTCAACAAGTCTCACGCCACTCTCATAATTCTGTATTTCCTTCT